GCATCTGTTAGGAAGTATTTATAGGAAACTATGAAGGAAGGACAATTGTTTTGAGCTGTGCTACCTGGGCCAAAGATACATTGGTGGACTCTCTTGATGGTTTCGGTGAAAGCAAAAGCTGGAATCACTCCGGCTTAAGTTATCTTTGCATCCGTAATTGGGCCCACAAGTTAAGGAGGGTAAACCCCTTTTCGTGATTAGATGGGTGCATTGTTGGACAGTGATCCCATGGTGAGTGGCAGTTTTATTTAGGAGACTTGAATGTTCATGGTTTTAATTTCTCACCCCACCATCTCCTTGCTGATGACCTGTTCAGCTTATTGGCCACTGACAATGATGTCGGTCTCACATAAACTTTGTATTGAAGGCCTTGCCCTTTCGTAGCTATTTGCAATCTGTCATCTGTGTTTCCTTTATTGACTGATGCATTTTAATTTGGAAATGGAAATTTATAGTCTCAATAAGAGAATGTTTGTAAGCAATTTACTCGTGGTCCTCGGTACTGAATACTCTGGCCTTAGCTTCATTAATATTGAGGGATCATAATGATTACATCTTTTGAATATGTTTGGGACGTTTTTCTTTTACGCAATAATTTATTTGATGCTACGAACAGGAAATAGGTTGATACGCGTGGTATATCACTGAATGAGAAGTTTGTCCAAGCTGGGGCAACCAAAGATTCTTGAAATTTCTGAGTTTTATTATTATTATTCTTATGATTATTATTATTATAATTATTATTATTTATTTTTTAAACAAAAACTTGGCCATCCTGCTAGTGTGTAATAGCAATGGAACACTGATCTATATTAGATTATTGTGAAGTAAATAATTACCGATTCTATGTTGAAGGTGTGTTTTTTTATTTTACTTATAAAAAATAAGTGTCTTCTTATGAATAAGTTGTGGCAGTTTCTATGATGCAGTAATGATGAGCATAAAATGGTTTTATTTAGAGTTGAGGCGAATCTTACTCTCCATAATTCTTCCCTTATCTCATGATTTCTTCTCTTCTGTTTGACAGAGACCACCATTATCAGTTTACTTCCTGGCAGCAGATTGCGAGAGGTTACACGCATGCTGCCTATTTTTGCTGATTCTCTGAAATTACTTAGATGCTCTTTTCCTGATATGGTGGCCGTCATTCCTGTAGCACCTAATCAACATGTTCAGGAACACCTCAAAAAAGAATGTTCAGCAATGGGTGGTGCCTGCCGTATTGATATCCGGGGAATCGTCTTTCAAAACATATGATGCTTTCAGCGTATGTTATTCTTGATCTGATTTATGCTATTGATCCACATTGTCTGATTTTTCTTATTTGAGAAAAATGCATCATATGTTTTGAAAAATACATCTTCTTCTAAGATGTAAGTGGAAGTATCCGAAAAAATTTCAACTTTTGTGGGGCTTTGATTACAACCGTGAGAGTTACTAAAATGCATGTCAGGCTTGATTGCAAATATATGAAAGTTGTTACAAAATGCATGTCATAATTGATTTTCGTTGTATTATACTATCAAATTCTCATTTTCTGTATCCGCATACATGGTGTGGTGTCGGACAAGTATTTTTTTGTGGGACGAGGTTCAATTTATTTTAGACATTACTTTGGAACTTGTTGCAGGCAAGCAAAGCTGCAATTGCTACTTCAGGAACAGCTGTTATGGAATTGCAACTTGCACGGCTGCCTTGAGTTGTTGGGTATCGTGCCCATTTCTTGACAGGATGGTTTATTAGTTTTAAGGACAAAGTCAAAGTACATCTCCCTACCCAATAATCTGTTGGATTCAGCTGTTATTCCAGAAGCTCTATCATCCAATTGCACAGCTGATAGACTGTCCATGTTGCTCAAGTAAGATGATCCTCAATTAAGTTGATAATAGGTGACCCAGCTTGATCTTTTTGACTGCTAAGCTTTCTGAATTTTAGGGAACTTTTGACATTAGCTTCTCCAATTGGTTGATTGCATCCCCTATCCTGGTTGGTCCTTATCAGCGTTGCATGGATGGATTTCAGTCCATTATTGTGTAATGTACTGAAATAACGTGCTAACCGCTTGCGGATTGCCTTGTCAATGAAATCAGAGGCATACACTTTCATGCAGTCTATCACTATTGCATGATACATAATATGAATATGCTTAGGACTGATAAGTACCTTACAGAAACAAAAGAAAATTGTCACTGATTAATTTTGAATTAAAGTTGTGGAGGACCTCATCTAAATAAACTTGTCTTACCCCCTATTGCAGCAAAAATCATTTGGGACGAAAGCCTTGGTGAGGAACAGATTGCATCTGCTAGGAACGTGCTTAATATTCTATGCCCAAAGCAGAAACGTTGGTATAATTTGCATGGGGGAAAGCTTGGATCTTCATGCACACCAAGTATGATTGCTGCATCAACCATTATGTATGAATTGACTTGTAACACTTGAAAAGTGTCTAATCTGTGTAGCATCTTTTTGGTTAGGTGATGTCTTCCTTTTCTCTGGTTAAATTAATTTTTTCTGTTGTAGTTTCATTATCTTCGGATGAATATTTGAACATTAAGCACAATCATTTAATCACTGTGTTGAGCACGTCTCATTGCATTTCAAAATTGATTGCATCTATGCTATATAAGGCCTTCTAGGTGAAAGAGATCCACCACTCCAAAAGTGTACTTCGAGTTTGACGGGGTAGGGATTTGTGTTACATTTCAACGTGTGAAGAGCTTGTAATCAGCCAAGCAAGCTTGGAACTGAAGGCATACGAGACGGTTTCCAACTTGTGAGGAAATTTTTACCCTGAAATTGGAGTAGTCATAGGCATTGTTAGAGAAATCGGGCAATCTAACCGTTAACCGCCCAAATAGATCAGAACCGGCCAGGGACCGGTTTCGGTTTTGGGCGGTTTTGGTGATCAACTAGTATTTTAAAAAAAATAACTCAAAAAAATGTATATAAATTCCCCAAAATAAATAATTTGGTTTGTAATGCACTTTTTAATATTATTTACATTATGGAAAAGATTAAAAATTATTTTTGTCATTAATACTCACTTTAATTCAAAAATCGATTTGTTAAAATTTGTTTTTCTTTAATTTTCAACTTCATTTGAATGTGTTTAGTTTTAATAATTCTTTATACGTTTTTTATATTTTAGTAAAAATTTTTTGTATTTTTTTATTTTTTCAACACTTATTTGACCGCCTGGGACTTGTCCGGTTAGAACGATTGAATCAATCAGTTTACCGGTTAGGCTGGTTAAACCACTTCTGGGCCAATATCTGGTTAACTGTTCTGGTTCAATGTTGCGAACAATGGTCAGGATGTCAACTGCTTCATTCCTTTTTTTTTGTTTTACTTAAATTCTTCTTACACAGTACCTAAGGGGGCAAATGCTTGGGCTGGTTTGAGTTGCTGTTCAGGTTTGGCTAGGTTGTAACGACAGGTTATGCCTTCGGAAGTTAAGGGGATTATTTCAAACTTAGCATTATCTGTGCTACCACAAACAGGTGGTGATTTGGCAAATAGCGAGAGGATTATTGCAACAAAAGTTGGGAAAGATATTGAGAGATTATGGAAGAGGATGTTAGGAGAATATTATCGAATCTTTTTCAATTGGGCTCTTTCAAGTGCAAGCCGAGATGGGTACCTCCTTTGGAGGGGTATTTAAAGGTATTTAAACTTAATTTTGATGGTAGCTCGTTAAGGAACATAGGGTATTTAAACTTAATTTTGATGGTAGCTCGTTAAGGAACCCAGGGTTAGCTGGTTTTGGAGGAGTGGTGAGGGATTGGAATGGAACTGTTGTCTTCTCTTATGCAGCCCCTTTGGGAGTGAAAACAGCGCAGAAATCCTCGTGGTTTAAAACTTTATGTGGCAAGGAATTTAGGGTTCATATAGTTTAAAACTTTTTGTGGCAAAGAATTTAAGGTCTTGTAGAAAGAGATTCACTCAATATATGGTGTAATAGGGAACAAAAATCGCCTTAAGAGTTTTGGTCTATTTTGATACAAATTTGAGGCATGTCTAGACTTTTTTTTTCTCCTTTATGCATGTTTTTTGTGAAACCAATGTATTGGCCACCGCTTTAATTGAGACTCTTGTCTGGAATTCTATAATTTCTTTTTTAATCTCTTATTAATAAAGTTCGGAATTTCTATAAAAAAAAATAAAAAATAAAAAAATAAAAAAGAAGACAAGTCTTCTATTGCTTTCTACTTCGTGCCGGCCCACAAATTTGCATTCAAGTTTAAATTTGGTTGGATGCGAACGGACAACCAAGATCTAATTTTCGTAGAGTTCCATTGCTTGCAAACTGCTTTTTCTTTTTTTGATCTGTGTCCACATATATCATAGTGCGGGCCCTTGGATCTGCACGGTCCATCTCAATGGATGGTGTGCACTGGAATTTCATTTCAGGTAAACTGGGCCTGGAAGCCGTGGTTCATCTCTGACTCTCTCTCTTTTAAATCTCTCAGTTTTCTAATTTTTTGAAGGGCAAAAATGGCAGAAACCACTGTTATGAAACCATTTTCGGCTCTTATCATTCTCTCACAAGGTGATGAAGATAAACATAAGTTCTATTTCCTTTCTTTTTGCCCTTTTTCTCCTTTTCATAAATGAGCTAATGCTGTTTGGGGCTGCTTTAGCAGCGAGGAGATTTGGAGGAAATCATAGTGGCGGGAAGGGTTTTCTTAAAGGGAGCCAAAGTATGCTGCGCAGATTGAAGTATTTGGAAGGTTACCAGCATTGAATAGCGAACCTTGCTCCTCCATTGACAAGCATAATCAACAGAGAACATGACAACCACAGATAAAACTGAGCTTTAAATTTTATTCCTAAAACTTAATAACTTTTGTTGCTATTGAAATTTTACGCCACACAAAGGAATACTTCTCAAGATCGCATGACACCATTGCAAAATTCGCAGCTGGCAGTGTTCAAGCTTTATAAAGAGCATTAATAAATTAACCCCTTCTCCCTAAAAAATTGTCAGAACATTAAGCTGAACAAAAATGGTGAGAAACTTGCTCGTAATACAGGTTTTCAGCTCATAAGAACTGACTTTTCAAATTTACATCCAAGGTAGAATCCAACTCTGAACAACTCCAAGTGGTTTTGCTCTGCAACTCACTTGGAGATTAATAACGAAAACAAAATCATGCCGTCTTCACCATCTGATCTTTAGAATAAGCCCGACAGAACCCTTTCTATCGCCAGTGCTACCATTTCCCATCATCTCTCTCTAAGTCGATGAATCAAAACTCCATTCGCAGAGTCAACCAAGCGGCAGAGCCTGTGTCTCTTCCCCACAATGAGTCTTTATCCACGCTGCACAAACCATATTCTCTAGTCTTGGGGTGGGGGAAGAGAGATGAAAAAGAACCCTAATGCAACGTGAGGGAAAAGAAATTTGAAATCCATTTCTATTTATGCTGATGACATCATTATATTTTGTGGGGCAAAATGCGACCAAATACTAAAGTTCCTTCGATGCTGTGAATTGACGTTAGGGCTCAAAGTCAATTTTAAAAAAACTTTAATTGTTGGTGTAGGATGTGATGAGTTTTTCGTTAGAAGTTTGGCTACTGCTATGAATTGTTGAGTGGAGTTTTTCCCAATCAAATACTTGGGGATGTCGATTTCAGATTCGAGATTATCATAAAAAAGATTGAGCAATTGATGAGAAATTTTTTATGGAGTTCCGATGAAAAGGGAAGTATCATTTAGTGAATTGGCAGAGCATTTGTACTCCTAAAAAGGAAATGGACTGGGTATCTAAAAATAAAAGTTAGTTAACCAGGCATTAATTGCCAAGTGTTGGTGGCGGGCTATGTATAATGAGCAACAACTATGAAAAAATGTGTTAGTTGCAAGTATGGTGTGGACCCTTTAAATAATTTGATTGCTAGGGGCCGTAATAGTTTACATCAATCTCATGTTTGGAAATCCATTTTATCTTTGCACTCATTTATAAAAGGCATGCAAGGTGGTCAGTTTGGAAAGGTGACAATCCTTTGGGCCCTTGATATTACTTTTAAATATTAATATCCAGATTCGTTTCAAAGAATAGCTCAGCCATGGCAAAGGTGAGGGAGGTGTGTGAATGAAATGGGAACTCCAATTTTTTGTAATGTCAATTGCCTTTACAATAGAATTCCTAATATTGTTGCTGAACAAATCTTGGAATTGTTGAAGGTTATGGAGGGAATTCATAAATCTAGTACTATGGAGGATGAATCAGTATGGGAACTCAAATATGATGGTATCTTCTCAGTCAAGTCAACTGACTCCGTTCTTTTTCGTGATCGGTTTAGATGGAGCCAGGCTAATTTGAAGGTAGGCAATTTGGAAGTGGAGAGTACCACATAAGATGCAGACCTTTATATGGGTAATGACGCAAGGAAAAGCTCCAACCATTCACAATTAAGAAGAGAGGGAAAATCTTAGTTAAATGTATACCTATTTTGCCAAAATGATGACGAAACAGAGACCGTTGATTTCTACTTTGTCTTTTCTCTTATCATATTTAGTGTTGGGCAATGCCAAAACTAGGTGTTTCTGTCCTAATTCTCATAAAGACATCCTCGACCATCTCAAGCTTGTCGGAGTTGCAAAAGTAAGCGGCATGATCTGGGACATTTTTCGAGCAGCTATTATATGGGAGTTGTGGTTGGAAATGAATAGAACATTTGGAGTATCATCAAAGATTCAAGGGATACATAATAGAATTTATTTTAGGGTCTGGAGCTGGTTTAGTATTACTAGGAAAGGTTCAAGTGTTTCTGAGGTGGACGTTGAGTTGAATTTGGATAAGCTTATCACTTTCAATTTTATTAAGGTTAGACCTAGGTGTACTTGGCAGCCGCCATTGATAGGGTGCTTCAAATTGAGTTCGGATGGATCATCTTTAGGAAATCGAGGTTTGGCAAAGGTGGGTGGTGTTTGCCTCGATAGCGGAGGCAATGTGGTGTTTTGCTATGTAGGACCTTCTGGAAATGTATCTACTAATCATTACTGAATGGCTCTACTGCAAGGACTTAAAATTCAGCTTGGAAATTTTTGCTAATCATGTTGAATTGGCCCCGCTGAAATGGCTCTGGTGCTCTGCGCTTCCTTGTACTGGTAATCCCCATCTATTATCTTGCCAGTTGACCTAACATCTCCGTAGTCAATTTTAATGAGACGACAGAGACAACATTATTGTAGTGCATGAGCTGACATGTGGAAACGTTCTCTTTTGTTTTTAATCAACTAATTAATGTAATCAGAATTGATTACAAGTGTATTTCTATTTGTGTACAAAAATGAGTCTGCACAGTAGATTCTACATAGCTATGATAAGTAATAGATTTTGCAGAACCATGATAAGGAACAATATCAAAACTCAAAGCTTGGTAACAGTAAGTGTAAGTTTCTAAACCCCATCCCTAGCAAGAGCATGCCTCGTTCATGTCCCAACAGGAGTGAACAAGTTAATTGAGTCTGCCTCCATTATCAAACGAACCTAGCAGTCCTCTTAGAGCCTGAGGCCTTGGATCACTAAGCCACCCCCACAGTGAGTAATAAGGATGCACCCATTGTTAGAGACGCTAGCAGACCATAGTGTGCGTAATAAGAATCGACCCATTGTTATCTCTAACAAAGCTCCCTACTCTTCCAGGGCCTGGGTCCCCCTCAAAGTCCTGGCATGATTGAGCTTTAAGATGCTGAACGGGGCAGGATCCTTTGACCAGGCCTAGCCTTCTTTGGCTGGCTTGTAGTGATATCTCTCTATACTATATCTATATCATTATTAAGCCATAGTTAAATGGTGACACATGTAGCAAGAATAAAGGGAAACTTTATATCTAGAAGGGCCTACAATATATGAGGGATTTTAGGGCATAATATAGCTAAATGAAGAGATTTTAGGAAGATAGAACCCTGAAAAAGGAATTTAGAGTAACATACTCATATAGGATAAATTTAGAATTTAGGATAAATTCTAAAAAAATTTAGTGAGAAAATCACATGCATTAACTTTCTAAATTCGATAAAGAGCTCACATACTCCTTCCTACCTCATGTTATTAAGCTACAGTTAAGGGATGGACATATGTCATAAAAATAAAATGGGACCTTCTTTCTACAGAAGATTAGAGCATGTGACCTTCAAAGAGAGAGAGTTCAAAGGACTGTGTAGCTAATTGGATTCGGTCTTCTTATTGAGAGATTTTAGGGAAGAGAGAATCCTCAAAAAAGAATTTAGAGTAGGTAGAATATGGGAGTTGACGGGGAAATAGTGAAACTCAAGAATTATGTAGCATAGCTAATACTTTAATATCTGATTGTTTGGAAGCTGAGAATGGTACACTCAGTTCAACTTGCTAGAGACTACTAATGTGGATAAGCTCTACAGATGTGAGGCACATTATGAAATCAAAGAAAACAGAAGATGCACTTTCATTCTTCTGAAGACAACTTTCTTTGAGAGGGAAAGAGAGATGTCATTGAGGTTGCAACACTTTAAATTATAGGCCATACTTTCTTGAGTGAGGCAGTGGCTGAAATAGGTCTCTATGACAACGTAAGCAGAGAACTACAAACTTTTAAAGGAGCTGGGCTTGCAACCCAAAATGCATTACCCGACAACCTTATAGACCCAAAATGGATGCCAATAGGTCTTATGAAGAACTTTGCAAGGGAGCCTTGATCCACAACCCTAATGAACTCAGCTCTTCAGCAGTAATGGAAGGTCCAAGGTCTGGATATGCCTGCAAACCCACCACAAATACACACCAATTACTTGCGAAGGTATGTGTGTTGTGTATCTGTGCACACGAGAGAGAGAGAGAGAGAGAGAGAGAGAGAGAGACGTACTAGTACTCGACAACCAACTACCGTAGTCTTTACGTTACGAAGGAACGGACGACCACGTCCTACGACCACGTCGTACGAAAGTA